CAGCAGCAGCAGCAGCAGCAGCAGCGACGAGAGCATGGCGACGTGGACATTCAAGCTCGACTGGCTGCCAGTGTGCCATTGGTGCAGCCCCTCGTTATTACTAATGTGTGAAGGGAACATTGAGACAGAGCGTGATGGCGACATGATCGGGTGTGCCGCACTGAGAGAGACCTTCTCACACTCACAATGCTTTCGACAGCGGAAACGAGCCGATGCGTGTGGGTGAGAATGTGCGGTGCGTGTGCGGAGAGGGCGCGTCCTCGTGTCAAATCCAAGCCCGCGCTCTCCCCGCCTGCTGTTGGCGCTGCTTGGTTGGTTGTTCGTTCGGTTGGCCCGCTGGCTGGCTGGCTGGCCAGCAGCGCGTGGGAATTCCAATCTGCAAAATCCATGGCAGCTCAGCGCAGTCCCATTCGGCTGAAAGCACACCGCGCCCCGCTGCCCCTTGCTTGGCTGTCTACGTGTCCTCACCGACTGACTGCCTCGCGAGCTGGTCCAGCCGGCGAGTTGCGCTGCGCCGTGCACGCCGCCCGTCGCAATCTTCCGACATCACTCTGCTAACCACCATCCTGCTCCCCCTCCTCCCCCTCCCTCGCCATCCTCCTCTTTCCACTTCCACTTCGGCCACCGCGCTGCCGGCATATTCCAGCGCAGCTTTCACTCTCCCCCTGCACACCGCCCGTGCTAGTACGCCCACCCCACCGACGCCGGTGCCGACATCGCAACCATGAATGTCGATGATGTCGAGGATCGCGATGGCGTTCGCCTCTCCTGGAACGTATGGCCCTCGTCCAAGATCGAGGCAACCAGGACCGTAGTCCCCATCAGCGCCCTCTACACCCCTCTCAAGGAGCGCGAGGACCTGCCCCCCGTCCTCTACGAGCCCGTCACCTGCAAGCCCCCCTGCCGAGCCGTGCTCAACCCTTACTGGTGAGTGGCTTGCTTGCTTGCTTGCTTGCCCGCCTGCCTGCCCGCGCCATCTCTTCTGACAATGACTTTGACATACCCCATACCCACACATCTTCGCAACAGCCAAATCGACGTGCGCGGCAAGCTCTGGATTTGCCCCTTCTGTCTCTCGCGCAACGCCTTCCCCCCGCACTACAAGGACATCAGCAGCACCAACCTCCCTGCAGAGCTCCTCCCCAAGTACACCACCATCGAGTATACCCTCAGCCGCCCCGCACAGATCCCGCCCATCTTCCTCTACGTCGTCGACACCTGCATGGACGACGATGACCTCAAGGCTCTCCGCGAGTCGCTCGTCGTCAGCCTCAGCCTCCTCCCGCCCAACGCCCTCGTCGGCCTCATCACCTACGGCACCATGGCACAGGTCCACGAGCTCGGCTACGACGCCTGCCCCAAGAGCTACGTCTTCCGCGGCACCAAGGAGTACGCTCCCAAGGCCATCCAGGACATGCTCGGCCTCAACCCGGGNCCTGCCCCAAGAGCTACGTCTTCCGCGGCACCAAGGAGTACGCTCCCAAGGCCATCCAGGACATGCTCGGCCTCAACCCGGGCGCCCGTCCCATGGGTCCTGGCGCACCCGGCGCTCCCGGCGGCCCCTCCCAGGCTCCTCGTCCGCCCAACGCAACCGCCCAGATGGGCGCCTCGCGCTTCCTCCTCCCCGTCTCCCAGTGCGAGTTCCAGCTGACCCAGATCCTCGAGCAGCTCCAGAAGGACCCCTGGCCCGTCGCCAACGACAAGCGCAGCCAGCGCTGCACCGGCGTCGCCCTCAGCGTCGCCGTCGGCATGCTCGAAACCACCTTCCCCAACACGGGCGCACGCGTCATGCTCTTCTGCGGCGGTCCCGCCACCGAGGGCCCCGGCATGGTCGTCTCCACCGAGCTCCGCGAGCGCATCCGCTCCCACCACGACATTGACAAGGACAATGCAAAGTACTACAAGCGCGCCATCAAGTTCTACGAGGCCATGGCAAAGCGCGCCGCCGGCAACGGCCACACCATCGACGTCTTTGCCGGATGCCTCGACCAGGTCGGCCTGCTCGAGATGAAGGGCCTCTGCAACCTCACCAACGGCCACATGATCCTCGCAGACAGCTTCCAGATGGGCATCTTCAAGCAGTCCTTCCACCGCATCTTCCACAAGGACGACCAGGGCCACCTCCAGATGGGCTTCAACGCCTCGCTCGACGTCCAGTGCACAAAGGAGCTCAAGGTGTCCGGCCTCATCGGCCACGCCGTCTCGGCCAACAAAAAGTCGGGCTGCGTTGGCGAGACCGAGATCGGCATCGGACAGACCTCGGCGTGGAAGCTCTGCTCGCTCACGCCGCGCACCTCGGCCGGCATCTACTTTGAGGTGGTCACGCCGCCCGGTCAGCCCATGCAGCCCGGCTCGCGCGGCCTGATCCAGTTTGTCACGCACTACCAGCACGCCTCGGGCCAGTACCGTCTGCGCGTCACGACGATCGCACGCAACTTTGCCGAGGGCGGTTCGGGCCAGATCGCCGCCTCGTTCGACCAGGAGGCGGCCGCGGTGCTCATGGCGCGCATCGCCGTGTTCAAGGCCGAGATCGACGACAGCCCCGACGTGCTGCGCTGGCTCGACCGCATGCTCATCCGGCTGTGCCAGAAGTTTGCCGACTATCGCAAGGACGACCCGACGTCGTTCCGGCTG